TTCACCCTTTGCGTATTCTTGGTTCATGCAGAATCATAAATCATACTAATAGACTCTAAAAGATGGACAATAGCTGGTTCCCTGAATTGACCGCAAAGAAATCCCGAAATAAAGAGGAAATGATATAAATAAAAGAAAAAAAAAAGAGTCCATTTCATTAGAAATTAAAATTTATGCTACACAATGTCAAGTATCTCAAACCATCGATTGATCAGGTATTTTGAGGTGGACAGCTCTAGTAATTAGGTTGTCAAATTCAATGACTTTATTTATCATCTCCAAATTGGCGAAGAAAATTCTCTTTCCTTCTTCCTTGACATGACGATGATTTCCTGGACTGGGTCAGTAGGTCGAACTAATCAGATTTCTCACTATCCCCAGATAAGATAATAATCTTATAAATGTGAATTAATTTATTATTTTTAACTTTTATTCCATTCACAATGAAAATTTAAACTACGATCCAGCAGTGACCAATTTTGTGAAACTACAAATTAAATCTATTTTGTACTGTTAAAATAATTAACTTGCATATTTTTCTACATCATTTTGTTTGGGAACAAAGTAAGCATGTGAACTGGAATTTGATTACTCCGAAGTCCCAACGCATTTGACATTATTGTAGGTAATTTATAATTAACCCTTCTCATGCGTTTATTTCAACTGCAGGAAGCAATAAAGACAGGCGTGCGTTTAAGTTTAGTCTCTCTTTGATGGAGGTATGATCAGTTTGAAAATAGTTTTGAGAATTAACTACTCCTCTTTTCTACCGTACCATCTGTTGTTCTTTGGTTAAAAAGTTTCATCATTTCTTCATCAATAACCGTTTCTTCAAGTCAGTAAAAGAAATTGATGCAGTGAACCGTTTCTTTTCCCCCGTTAAATCCATAAAATGGAAAGGTTTTTTTTTTGACATTTTTTCATTTTCCGGGATATGATAATGCACTTTATGAATAATACAAATTAAATACCACAAACTTACGGTAACAATCTTGTATCAACAGGTAGGCACACAGCACTAGTGAAACATCACAATCAAGAACGTAACTCCGTGTTTACTAAAGATGGAAATGATTAAGGTTTGGACGTAATCTCAATAACTTTTGTTCGCAATTAAGAGGCACATGGCTTCAATCTCCACATCTTTCAAGCGAATATTTATTAATTTATAGTACTTATTAATTAAATAAATCTCTTACTTCGATTTATGCCAGCACTTCTTCTTTTACCCTTTTTTGTCAAAAACAAAAAAAAACCAAAAAGTGTTCAAAGTACTAATACAGGAGTATTTTTCAATTGATATTCATAAAAAGGTCTGCAAAGTTACAATTTCTTTTATGAGTAAGAGCATAGGTCAAATATATTTAAAGGACGTATGCGATATGATAGAGGCGAGTGTATCTTTTCTTTTTATTACATTGTTTTTTGTAATAGTATTATCGTATGTTTTTTTTTTTTTAAGAAAAGTAAACATTAGCTGAACTGCGGAATGCAACTTTGTCGATGCTATGGTTGCACTAAGGTGGAACCAAGATGTGTCAATATCGATCTCGATCACACTGGCATTAACACTTATTGCGATTTGTCCTAACTAATTATTAATCATTCGGAATAACCCCACTCACTTTTGGGTTAAATAAACAAATAAGCATAAGTGAGTTTTTCTTTATCGATTCATGTTATTTTATAGAGATAGAGATAGAGTTTAATCTTTTTCATATTGATAATGTTATTGTATCAGTTTATATATAACCATCTCTTCTATCATTTTCTTAATATGAAAACATATTTTCCCGTATCATTTTACATTGTTGTTAGTGGTAAGTTACCTTCTTCCTCCTTTTTCAAATTTCACATAATCATTTGACACTACGCAAATTAATTAAATTTAATCAACTGCATGCAACTATACTCCTCTATCGATTCAACTGTATTAGTTACAGAAATTATTGAAATTGGGACAAAAAAATTCCGTCAAGCAACTAAAAATCATTGATGTGATCCAACTTACATTTTTTTTTTACGATTGTACCTGAAAAAAGCTTGTTATTTTTGTTGTACATCGATAATTGTGCCATCAAATTTATGACATTTGTGCAATTATGTGTTCGACAATCAAATGGAATAAGATAAAAAGATATAGTGCCATTTTACTAGGAAATAAATGACTCATTATCAAATTCCCGGCAATTTCGGGAAACGATCTAGCTGTTTTCAGATTGTCTACCTAAGAAAGAAAGAAAGTTTGGAAATCAGACAATTTATTGAATGCACCCAGAAGCACCATGCTCCTCTACCTATTTTTTGCATTACTAGTCATTATTACACTTTTTTCATTTTTTTAAATAACATCATATATTTTGCAGGTTTAGTCTCTGTGACTTTTTTTTCTCTCTCCTTTAAAAAAACATCTCTAATCTTTAAACGACCATATCTCATGATCTGTAAAGAAATAGAGGACGTGTTATACATGAAAATTACAGTACTCGTCGAGATCTATTAACAAGATCCATATCAAATATTTTTTTCTAATTTAAAAATGATAAAATTTTTCTAATGAAAATTTCGAATATTTGTACCTTCGTTTGGATGGATATCCAGTTTAAGAAGATGGATAACCAACTTATTTTACATTCATATTGTTGTGTTCCTTATATCTTTTGATCTATAAAGAATTAGAACACGAATTATAAATGAAATTTATAGTGCTCGACGGGATCTATCAGATAAGGTCAATGTTGAATATTTTTTTTGAACTTAAATGCATTTAATCTTATGGGCAAAAATAAAGAAATATGTTTTATTTTTTCTGAAAAAAAGTTATTTGTTGTGTTCATACTGATTATCCAACCGGTCCATTTTGTTTGTACTAGTTATCTAATCATATTTTTGACATTCCTACTCTTCAAAAAAAAAGGAAAAAATAATTTGGATAGGCATTAGAAACAATTTAGATAATCATTGAAAATAATTGGATAAGAAGTACAAACTGGTTGGATAATCAGTATAAAAAAACTGGACAATGATTATCATAAAAGAGTAAGGAAAAAAAAGAGTTCGATAACCATCACCAAGAAGTTGGATAATCAACAGGGTGGATATCCAGTTTAAGAAAATGGATAATCAACTTATTTTAAATTGGTTATCTATTGTGTTCATACCGATTATCCAACCAGTTTGAATTAGTTATTCATTTTGTTTTGTACTGTTTATCCATTTGGTTTGTATGCTTATCCAACTTGTTTTGTAGTTGTAATACAACGGGTTTGTATGCATATTCGACTTGTTTGTATTAGATATCCAATTTATTTGTACTGGATATTTATCCATTTGGTTTGTATGCCTATCCAACTTATATGTACTGGTTATCCAATGGATTTATATGCCTATCCAACTTGTTTATACTGGATATTCATTTGGTTTGTGTGCCTATCCAACTTACGCGTACTGGTTATCCAACGGATTTATATGCATATCCAAATTATTTGTACTGGTTATCCAATCATTTTTTTTTTTGTGTTTGGAAAAAATCGTTGTCCAATACGCTAATACTGGTTATCCATTTTGTTTATACCGCTTATCCAATTATATTTTTTTTTTCCTTCGAAACACGGTTATCCAATGTGTTTATAGTGATTATTCAATTATTTGTTATCTAATTATTTTTACTGCTTGTTCAAATAAGTTTGTATTGTTTGTCTAATCATTTTTTCTTATTTTGAGAAAATGCTTGTTCAATGTGTTCGTACTGATTATCCAACCCCGTGCTATTGTTTCTCCAGATATTTTTTTTTATGAAAATACTTGTCCGATATGTTTGTACTTGTTATCCAATTAATTGATACTGCTTATCCAACCTAGCTTTTTCTTAAAATAGTTATCCATTGTGTTCATACTGATTATCCGACCGGTTTGAACTGATTATCCATTTCGTTTGTACTGGTTATCCAATCTCTTTTTTTTTTTTTTGGGAAAATCATTGCCCAATGTGTTAATAAGTTGGTTATCCATCTTCTTAAACTGGATATCCACCCTATTTCTGTCCATCAGAATTTGATCATTTTTAATCACAGAAAAAATATTCCATATGGATCTTGTTAGATAGATCTCGTCGAATACAATAAAATTCATGTGTAACACATTTTTAATTTTTCACGGATTGAGAGATATGCTCGTTTAGAGATTAGAGATGTTTTCTTGGGAAAGAGGAAAAAATAACAAAGATTAAACTTACAAATTATAGGAAGATCGAGAAAAAAATACATAACTACCAGTAGTGCAAAAAATAGAAAGATGTGTACATGCTAACGGATATATTGGATACAGACTCGGAAATCATATTTGATACTCCTATTTTTGGACGGGATATCAATTAGTATTTCATTTGATCATCACTATTGCAATATGATACGTCCATTCCTTATAGGTAATATGGGGGATTTGTTTCCTAATTAGAGACTTACCGAGTAACAACAGTTAAAAGTAAAAAAACTTTCTCCCCTATTTATATGAATGAATGATGAATCTCCGTCATCATCACCAGATCGGAAACTTCTAGTTTTACCGCCACGATTTATTTTTCCCTTTTCCATAAACCTCAAACCCCCGACTGATTAAAGTTAAGCCAAGCCAAGCCAAGCCGTAACTCCCTCAATATTTTAATACATGTGTCATCTTTCTACAGCTAAGCCAGGATACTCCCTCGGGTTAAAACCCTTAACTCTAGTTAAGCCCCGCTCTCCTCCCTTAGCCGCGCCACCCAACAAAAACCACCGCCCTCCTCCTTTCCTTAACAGACTCCATATTCTTTCTTTTCCAGTTTGTTTCTTTCTCTTAATCATGAAGAAGAAGTCGTCGTCGCCGTCGAAGACCGCAGCCTTCTTCCTCCGTCACCGGCCAGCCGAACTCTTCTAGCAGCCAGTCACCGGAGAGAAATTATTTTCAAAAAACTTGTATTCTGTAAGAAAATCGTCGATTCAGTTAATTGTTGGGAGATAAAGATGGAGGAAGAGAGAATAATGCTGGCGAAGAAGTTGTTAGAAACGGTGAACGAGATATCCGGAATAAACGAGTACCGGTCTCCTGTGAAGAGGCAGTATTGCAATTTGGCGCGGCGGTTGAAACTGTTGACTCCTTTGTTTGAAGAGATTCGTGATAGTAAAGAGGAGCTTCCTCCGGACTCGCTTCAATCTCTATCTGCTCTAACTCTCGCTCTTGATTCCGCCAAGGAGTTGCTCAGATTTGGCTGCGATGGCAGCAAAATTTATCTCGTGAGTAATTTTGGTTTACTTTTAATACTAAACTTTGCTCGCTGATCTTTGATTTGATTTAGCATCCGGATTTTAAGAATTAAAATCAGTCGGAAAAGTTGGATTTCTTAAACCATCCTTTTGCTGAACTCATCTGCTGATGATTTTCTTCCCCTCTCTTTCTGTTGCATCCTTGAGCATATTCACCATGTACTCTGAAATTGCCAAAACGTTATTCTACTGCTGTGAGGAGAATCTTTACATAAAGCTGATTTGGAATATCCTTCTCCGGATCATTATTATTATTATTTGGATTACATTGCAGCGTATGATTTGGTTCAAACATAAGAATCGGCTAAGTTCTTATTTTGCTCAACAATTGATTTACCAGTAGTTTGATCTGGATTTTGATCGATTTGGTTGAATTTTTTTTTTCTGGGATTTTGATCGATTAGTCTTAGTCGCTAGGTAGACGATTTTCTGCCATTGGAGTTTAGTGAATTTTAAAGGAAATTGGTTCTTCAGTTGTTAAGCACAAAAGAAGGTTTGTCTTATGTTAATCAGACGAGTATTTTTGTTTTGGAGTTTTCATGGTTTTACTAAGTGAAAGTGAAATGTGATATGAAAACAACCATTAGACAATAGGCTGTCATCAAGGAACGAGTAAGTTTTGTTGCATTTAGAGACGTTATTTTTTTTACATTTCACTTCGGTGAGGCCAAATAATTTCTTTGCTGGTGTTTTTTTTTTAATTTTTTTATTTCTTTACTTATAGTTGCTAGAGAGAGACCAAATCAATAAAAAGTTTGAAGAAGTTACTACCAAAATAGAAAACGCTCTTCGAGGAATCTCTTATGAGGAACTGGACATCTCCGATGAAGTTAAGGAACAGGTAGGATTTCTTTGGTCTTTGTTTTCAATTGTGTGTAGAGATTAACACTCTTGCTTCATTGAATTATCTTACTGACTATGTTTTTTAATATACAAAACCAGCTTGTACTTTAGACTAGCAAACGACTGTCGACTTTGATGAAAATTATGTAAATTGAATTTTGAGTTGTGGCATCTGTTCTTGTTGATTAAGAGGATTTAGATTAAATATGTAGATTGAACTTTGAGCCTAAGCCAGATTATCTGTTGCTAAAATAGATTAGCTCCATAAAAAATACATAATCAACAATCAATCTTCTGTATACAGGTGGAGCTTGTTCTTGCTCAATTTAGTAGAGCTAAGGGAAGGGTGGACTTGCCTGATGCCGAGCTGTATGAGGACCTATTGTTTCTATACAACAGATCCAGTGATTCCAGCGCGGACCCAAATATATTGAGGAGATTAGTTGAGAAGTTACACCTCAAAGGAATATCAGATTTGACACAGGAGTCGCTAGCATTGCATGAAATGGTTGCTGTCACGGGTGGAGATCCAGAGGAGAGAATTGAGAAAATGTCAATGGTATTGAAAAAAATCAAAGATTTTGTACAAACAGAAAATCCAAACATGGATGGAACTGGAAATAGAAAACCTGATCCTTCAAGTAGACAACAAGCTGCAGTGGGGAATCACAAGCCTCCTGTAATACCAGACGATTTTCGATGTCCGATATCACTAGAGTTGATGGGAGATCCTGTCATTGTCTCCACGGGCCAGGTGTGCCAACTGAAATTTCATACTACAAAACTCTCATTTTATATTCTTTTATCAATTACATTTTTCATTCTCATATATTAAATTCACTTATTGCCTTTTATTTTATTTGGATTCTCATGTGCCTTAAACCTTACAAATTGTAGTTTTTGTTTTTTTAAGACTTATGAGCGTAGCTGCATCGAGAAATGGTTAGAAGCAGGGCATGGCACTTGCCCAAAAACTCAACAACCTCTCACCAGCACGGCACTTACACCAAACTATGTCTTGCGCAGCCTTATTGAACAATGGTGTGAAGCGAATGGAATTGAACCCCCAAAACGGCCGAGTAGCTCTCGCCCCAGTAAAACTGCATCTGCATGTTCACCTGCTGAGCGCACTAAAATTGATTCACTTCTTCGTAAGCTCACATCAAGTAACCCAGAAGACCAACGATCTGCTGCTGGTGAGATCCGGCTACTTGCCAAGCGCAATGCTGATAACCGTGTTGCTATTGCTGAAGTTGGCGCCATCCCATTGCTCGTGAGTCTTTTATCAACACCTGATTCCCGTACTCAGGAGCATGCAGTGACTGCACTTCTCAACCTATCAATATGCGAAGACAATAAAAGTAGGATCATCACTTCAGGTGCAGTGCCCGGTATTGTTCTTGTACTCAAAAAAGGGAGCATGGAAGCACGTGAGAATGCTGCAGCTACCTTATTTAGCCTATCTGTAGTAGACGAGAACAAGGTTACGATTGGTGCCTCTGGAGCTATACCACCACTTGTCACTCTTCTAAGTGAAGGTACTCAACGGGGAAAGAAAGATGCTGCGACAGCACTTTTTAACTTGTGCATATATCAAGGTAACAAGGGAAAAGTAGTGAGGGCCGGAGTTGTACCCACACTGATGCGTCTCCTTACAGAACCTCAGGGCGGTATGGTAGATGAAGCACTAGCCATACTAGCAATATTGGCTAGTCATCCTGAAGGGAAGGCCGCCATTGGTGCCGCAGAAGCAGTCCCCGTTTTGGTAGATGTTATTGGAAATGGGTCTCCCAGGAACAAAGAAAATGCTGCTGCAGTGCTTGTGCACCTTTGCTCTGGTGACCAACATTATTTGGTTGATGCTCAGGAACTTGGAGTGATGGGCCATTTACTTGATTTAGCACAAAATGGCACAGAACGTGGAAAACGGAAGGCCTCCCAGTTGCTTGAGCGGATGAATAGATATGTAGAGCAGCAAAAGCACGCTGCCCAGGTGCAAGCCGAGGCAGCTCATACAGCTCCTCAACAAACGCAAAACAACCAGCTTTTGCGGCCGCCACATCATCACCCTTCGGTCAATGCTGTTGATACATAGTTGAGAACCTTAATTTCAGGTGCTTTTTCTTTTTGCTTCTTGTTTTATTGGTTCTTTACAGAGTGGTTCAAGGCCATTTTCCTTCCCCTTGATTAAAGAGGAGCAAAGGTGGAAGATCACCTCTTCTCCGAATATGTTAAATGTGATTCATTTCTTCTCAAGTTTGAGAACTATACAAGTCCCTGTTTAGGAATGACAAGTGACTGAGAAAAGGAGAGCTGAATGGAACAGTGTTTTACCACAATTGTAAGTTTGTAACATGTAAAAGGGTTATCATCCTCGGTTTTTATTGAAGGTGATGCTTTTCTATATATATATATATATATATATGAACGTTTGCTGATGTGACAAGTCAGATGTGAAGGATTCATTGTCAACCTCGTGGGTTCCTGAGAAACAACATTTATCAGGGAGCTCCATTTCTGCCATTTTTTAGTATTTAGTTCCCTTGTGCTTCAGAGAGCTCCATTTGTGCCATTTTTTAGTAGTTAGTTCCCCTGTGCCATCAAGGAAAAGGCATCAATTATATAGCATGTACAACATTACTAGTGAGAACAGGTTGGGCTGACTCGGCTGTGATGATCATGTTCAGATAATACCACCGACTAAATTTCAACTGGATTGTCTAGCATGTTTATTTATTTTTTTGAAGAGACAATCAAATAATTTGATATGTTCTTTTCACAAATGAATGGCCAAGTCTATGAAATATAGACATTTACAATTTTATTTTATTTTTTTTCCCTTTCAGTGACTAATTGAATTTTTTTAAGCACTCCAGAATTCACACGGAATATGTCAGATCTAACCAGGTTCATCTTCTTGATGTTTTAGATAGTGATTATCACGATTTCATATTGATTCCCCCGACAAAAACAGAGACTCTGCCTCAGCTTTGACCAGGAAATCCATCGAATGATTTAAACTCTGTAAAATTTCAAAGGAAGAATTCCCATAATCAACCATAGATATAGTTTTGTGTTAGTGATAAAGTGTAGTTTTTGTCTGCAATGGCCTGTGCGCAAGAATTCACCTCAGCTTTGCACGAAAATTGTAGGAGTACAATGGAAGAAGCAAATATTTTTAATCGGTTGTTTATCCAGCTCCAGCCAGCGAAAAGAAACTGAAATTAATCCAAGACCATGTTTTCCATCAAGACCAAGCTTGGGATAAAATCCTAATAACTTTATCCCTTATTGGTTTTGGTGTTTATAGAGAAATCTTATGGGCAGGCCGGAAAAATGTTGTGATTTATGTCAGCGGTGGCTTGATCGGTGATGCCACAATCAACTGTGGCTTTGTTGGCAACTCAAGTAGGCCTGATCACGGCCGTGAATGGGTTGGAGAAAATTGGGAACAGAATTCATATCAGGCCAATGAACAAACTCTGCTTTTCATGGCAACGCAGCTGAATCTGTCCCCGTCGGAGTTCAAGCATCTTGATGACTGATCAGTTCCGGTACACATTCCCGGTGAACCCAGGTCAGAAAATCCTTGGCCTACATTTCTACCCTGCTTCCTGCTACCATGGTTTTGAGAAAGAGGGAAAAAATGGTTTTTTCTCCCTTCTTAGGAACTACAATATTGTTGCTTCAGTTGCTGCTTATAGTTTGGATATGTAAACCGCATCATCAAAGACTTTGATTTAAGTGCTATAGAACCAGGAACCAACCGCTGGCCTTAACATTTTTCCCTTGTTCACAAAAACATATGTTTGGTGGCGCCAGCAAAAATTAAATGGACATCCTTGAAAGCAGACACAGGACTCAGGAAGAGTAACACAGACGTCTAAATTTTTTTATCCAGAAAACAGTAGTAGACTATGTATTCTCAGGCTTCATTTCTATCAGGGTGAAATCTTCATTTTGAGTAGCCTGGAAACTATTTTAGCGGCTGCAATGACTGTGCCTGCAGAAGAATCCTTAAGAATAATCTAGTTGATGCAACTATAAGGGAAGAAATTTCATTGAACAGCTTAAGACAGTTTGTGAAAATCGTTGAGAAATGTTTGAAGCAGCTGCCCACTAGACGACCTGCAATGGATGAAGTAGTGTCAAGTCTAGAACAGTCCCTGGAGAAGTAGTAGTGTCAGGAACCATCCTTTTATGACTACTCCATTGGTGGATGGCATAGCAGTTGGCCGTCCTGGCGAGGAGGAAAATGTTAGGTCATCTCATACGAGTCCGAATGAAGCAAAGATGCTCAAAACTGCTGAAGGATACACTGAAAGACCAATAAAGAATCTTGCCAGAAAGACAAGAGAAGAAAACTTTCCGCTGCAAGGAAGAAAGGACATATCTCACATATCATTATTGAGAGCTTGGACTAAGAAACCAGTACTGGACCACGGTAATTAAGCCAAACAAGAAAACATTTCTTCACTGTTTTATCTACTGTTTTTTGGATTCTGATAACACTTTCATCCTTTTTTCCGGTATGAGGGGTGTTTTTCTATCAGCCAACTGACTGGTTTTAACATTATTATGCCTGGTTTACAGAATCAATCTCCATATGAATTTACTTGCTGAACTGAAGACCACTCTTAAACACTACAAAGAAGATTACATTTACATGGGTGGAAAAGGAAATTTTGTACAAATGCTTGTTATCTGAAGAAGTTATAAAGAAAGGGCTTTAGCCAATTCCAGTTGCCATTAGGGTATATAACGCCCACAAAAGCTGTCAAACTGACCCGGAATGGCTGGTATATGCATATATTTTAAAATTTATCATGCACATATATAAGTTTATCAAATGCTTCCTGATGCATATGTTAGTTGATTTTGTCGTTTCTAGGCTGAAGCCAAGTTCTTGGGGAAGCTTTCTCATCCAAATTTAGCCAAACTGGTTGGATACCGTTGTGAAGATGGGCGTAGGGCACTAATCTATGTAAATACGGTTCAGGGTAGCCTGGAGAACAATCTGTTCTCAAGTAAGTAGTACTTCATGTTTACTCCAAAATATACTTGCTAATTATAGTATATATAATTGCACGCCAAAGTCATGATATGCTTTCAATTGTATGGGTAACAGGTGTGTTGCCTTCCCTTCCTTGGTCAACTCGAATGAAGATTGCATACGGTGCAGCAAAAGGACTTGCTTTCCTGCATGAAGCCAAGATTCCAGTCATCTACTGTGATTTTAAAGCATCCAATATTCTCCTGGATTCGGTAATCAGTAACCAAAGTTATAAGTCATAATGCAATTCTCTGGATGTTTTAGCACATTGGCATTAAATAGTTTGTGATTTGTTTTGGTAATCAGGGCTACATTGCTAAGCTTTCTGATTTTGTTCTCGCAATCGATGGAATTCTTAGTGTTGAATCCATTTCTGTTCCCATCTCGGCCGCAGATGTTGATGCTGCACAAGCATATACTGCGAGAGGTCAGTTCACTTTTCTAGTACAGTAGTACTCCCTCAGTATAAAAATATAGTCCACATGGTCACATCAGTTTTATAAAAACACTGGTACAAACCTCAAAACTAATTTGGACTATTTTTTTGAGATAGAAAATATTTGATTGCCTGTGTTATTTCTAACCAAATGAATCTGCTATATCATTGGGAAAATTAGTGATTCTAAAGGCATTTGCAAAATTGAATATATTCTCAAATTTCTTTCTCTTTTGTGTGGTCTGATTTTTATTCAGGTCGTTTGACGACTGATGTGTATAGTGATAATAACAATAATTTCCATTTTATTATAATGTTAATGGTGATATTTTGATTATATTTGTGAATATTTTGATTATATTTGTGAATATATTAATAAATTTTATTATTATTTTATTGTAGGCAGTAAAAAGTGAAAGATGGACGATGAACTAATTTGATTTTACGAGGAATTTTTTTATGGGATTAAAAGATGGAAAACTTTCATCACAAGAAGATGAGGCAGAACTGAAGAGATTTTTGTTTTGAAGATTTTCTTTTACAAAATCAAAGTAAGTAACTGCAAAATCTTTGACCCAAATCCTACAACAATTTGAGATATATTAGAGATAGGATTTATTAAGATTTTTGGTTAATGACCAAAGGCATTACAAATAAGCCTTGATTGATCAAACGAGAAGCATCCCATCGTAGCAAGCCTTATGCTGCTACCACTTCTCCATTTTTGCCAACTTTTCAAAGCTCAGTCTTATTTTTATTTTTCAAATAATTTGTAAGATGTATCTAGTCACGATGAGTGGCTAATTTTCTTGTTTGGTTCAAGCATTTTATTTATTTATATTATATGTAACATTACAAGTTTCACTTTATTCTTTTCTGCTTTTGATTTAAGTATTTATTGATTTTGATTTCTTTTTATGAGAGTAAATAATGATTTTATTCTTTTATATTATATGTAAGATTACAAGTTTCACATTTATTCTTTTCTACTTTTGATTTAAGTATTTATTGATTTTGATTTTTTTTATGAGAGTAAATACTTGATTAATCTGACAATTTAATTAAGTGTAATCTTCCTATTACTACCAAATTGTTTATACTGTGCTATCGTCTTAATCATTTGGCACTAAGTCGCAAATTAGCAGAAAAAAGTAACAGATTAGCAGATGATGCATGTTGGTAGTGACACGTTGAATCTACATAATTAGTTTAACTAGGAGATCAATAGGACAAAAACTTTTTAATTGCAGTTATCTCAATTATTTTAGTTTTTGGTTCAACTAAATTTTCAAAGTTTTTACTGCTAGTATAATAATTTAATATGGAACGCTATCATGCTCAGTTAAATTATACTAAGTCTTGATTAGGTGCTGGGTTTGGTCAAATATTTTTAGAAAATATAAGGCTTTTTACGGTTATCCTATTAAGCCTACCGTTGAACGTTTATGTCCTAGAAAAATAATCTTTTTTTAGTCAATAATCTATAATGTAATTGAATTCATTCTTTGAACCAAAGTTTTTCTATTATTAATTTTTCCTATAATTCTATTAACTTTAATTTGTCATTTTATTTTGAAGAAAGAAAATCTCTCATTTTGTTACTTTTATAAAAGTGTTGAAAGTCAACTCTCTTAGGATTCGACATGATTTCACTAATTCTACAAATTACTTTTTTGGTCTGTTTGGAAATCAAATTAATTTTTGTTGGTCTTTACAAATCTATCATACAGCCATGGGGAAGTCCTTCTGGAGCTATTAGCGGGACGAAGTGCATTCAATAAGAAATAAACCATTGGGGGAGCAGTAACTGGCCAGTTCGGCAATTCCCTTTCTTCGTGTCAAGATAAATTTGGGTATCATCATGGATCCAAGATTAGGAGATTATCCCATGAAAGAAGCTCACAAGGTTGCAATATAGGCTTATGATTGCTTGAGTTCTTCCCCTAAGGAACGCCCCATCAATGAAGGACGTTGTACGCTTCCTGGAATCTTTCCAGTGCCAATAAATGTTTTTATTTTTTTTTTTATTTTTTATATATGAAGGAAGCCCAAGCATGGCTTTAACTTACAAAACATCCCTTAGGTTACGGGATGATCCTAATTTATCACTTTCTAGCTTTTCCTTAGCAGCAAAAGGGGACGTTGACAGAATGTGAAAACCAACTGAGCATGACAATCTGAACTTTGCGAGTTCGTCCGCCACCATATTTTGATTACGGCATACGTGTGTTATTGTCACCTTCCAGTTGAGCCGAAGAAGAGACCCAATTCGGACAAAGACATGGCTGTTTACAAACGAGGAGTTCTCGTTTGACAAAAGATCGAACCCCCCGGGGGAGTCTAAATCTACTTGTGTATCTCTAAAGCCTAACTGCCAAGCAATCCGGAGGTCGAATAGGACCCCCCAGAGCTCTGCTTCCAATACGCTACAGCAGCCTAGATTGGCAGCGTATCCAATGATCCAATCTCCATCACCATTTCTGAGTACACCTCCTGCAGCTGCTTTCCCGGATTTTGCCACCGCTCCGTCCGAGTTGATTTTAATTGTTCTTCCTAGTGGTGGTTCCCAGCTCTGTTGTGTGGGATTGCAAGGTTTTGGATTTGTCGTTTTGCTGGGCAAAAATAAGGTTCGACCGACCAATCTCCCTGACCAAGGCTGCCGTTGAGGTTTTAAGTACTCTCTGGGGTGTAATGTCACCAATGAATACTTCCCCATTTCTCGTTTTCCATAGCTTCCAACATGCAACTGCAAACCACGTTGACCATTTGTGTTGTTCCTGCAAAATCACAGATTTTAAATTAGAAATAAACCAAGATTTCCAGTTGCCAACATACCAGAAATTAGCTCCGAGGGACAGCTTTATGCTGTGCCATAATTCTGTGCTTCTAAAACAATCACGAAAGACATGAATTAGATCTTCTTCTCTTCCACAAAAATGGCAATTTCCATCATCAGCGAGGTGCCGTCTCTTCCGTTCCGCATTCGTCATCAATACCCCTCTTAAACATAACAAAAGGAAAGTTTTAATCCTTTCCGGCCCCTTCCAGCTCCACAA